GGGATTCAGATTGCTATCCGCTTGGAATACAAAGGATCTGGGAGCTACTTAGAATACAAATCACTAAAAGTGTGAAAGGCAACAAAGGGGGCTCTTCAGTGAAGAATGGCCATTGAAATGAAGAAGAAGAATGCCAGTGAGATAAAGAGGAGACTGAGCAGTGCTGTTCAGTCAACACCAACTCTCCAGTCCCAGCTCATCCCGGCCTCCTTCAGCAAGTTGACACGGGATAATTTTTCATAATGACACATCTGCTCAAATATCCCCTTTATGTTTTCTATTTTTTTTTTAATCACCACATAGAAAATAACCCCTAGCGTCTGTTGTTGAAGCTGACTTTGGGTGTTGCCCATAAATGCACAAAAGGTTTTAGGTAATTCAAATACCGTTAATCTCTTGTCTGAGCTGTATTTCAGATGAATACATGCACTGTATTGCGTGTGCTTGTCAGTGCATTGTAGACTGACATGTTTGTCGGACTGTAACAGCGAGGTTGCGTGTTGTAATATTTGCAGTGCTCCTTTTCATTGGCAATTTGATTCAGCGCAACAAAAGCATCCCCTACTTATTAGAGTGGTGTTTGTTCCGTGGGATATGGCCACCCTCACATCATTATTCACAGTCAGAGTAATGTAGGAGGATCTGTATGATGTTACATCTGTTTAGTGGATTATATTGTGCATTTTTGCCTCTGAAATGCCGAAGCCTAGCTACAAAATACTACAACATTCCTAAAGGGGTGACGTGTGGATTCTGCTGTTTTTAAATGACTCAAGATGATCTCTGTGTCCCTGCATGTTTGTGCATAGACTTACGTTCATTATTCACCCTGGAATGCATAACCTCTTTATCTGCCTATCAGTCAAGGCTCTACCAGCGCGCTTTTGTTTTCCATTTCTCAATAGCTCTGTGGAGAGGACAGGGTTGCTTTGGTAGGAGCAGTGTGGTCAGTGGTCCTTGGCCAAGATAAGACTTATCCTTCATGTTCTCCAAGAAAAGACAAATCATGACACCAAAAAAAAGAGATACTCTAATATATGACTTATTACAGGAATTTAATTGTCAGGGTAGATTTTGTGTAGTGACTATAATCTCACATTTCATTTGCTTGATTTGACATGTAGAAGATGTTAGTACAAGTGGAAGTAATTATTTTTACAATGTTGGCACAGATAAATATTGATTATTGTATTTCTATACACATTTATTTGTAAAACCATCCGGTTTGCTTGCTTGATTAAATGTTTGTATTTAGAACAAAACCCGAGCATACATTTGAACAATAGACCCCCATTAAAAACAAACTTTGCTCCTTATCTTTTAATAGCACCCTCTTACACTTCCTAGTTTGCTGTAGAGCAGAACGTGCTGCTGCCCTCCTTTTTTTTTTTACTCTTTCTTTGACCTGAGTCAAGGTCACAAATACATTTGGAATTTCAATATGAAATGCAAGGGGTGTGCAGAACCATGCTTTATGGAAATTACATGAATTATTACTTGCATTACGTTTTAGTTTTTTATAATGTAGTGTGGTACAAAAATAGTCCATTTAATCAATGGCATTTTGCAAGATACATTCCTGTCTTCATTTGGAGTGCTAACAAGGTGGATGGATGCACTGTTTGCTTCCCTGGATGGAATTTAAGCTTCAATTTCCCTAAAGAGGATAACCAACCACTGTTTCTGCTCAGTCTCATTGTACACT